TCCCTTCCTTTCTTTCCTCCCTCCCTCCCTCCCTCCCTCCTTCCCTTCCTTCTTTCATTCCTTTGTTCATTCATTTACTCACTCATTCAATAAGTATTGTCTTCAATGTGCCAAAACTTTGCCCTGAGCATAAAAGAATATTGAACAACACAGAAGAGAAAATCCTTACCCTTTTGGAGTTTGCATTTTATGATACATTTCTACAAATGACATATACTGAGGGAAGCTTAAATTTCAACATGCATGGAGTTTGCCACCACAAAAACACAATTCTGACAAGTGCTTTGAAGGAAGTAACACAGTGTGGTGTATTTAACAGTCAGCGATCGGACATAGCTATTATGAGGTTTCAAGAGACGCAGGACTTGAGCAAGCAGGAGCAGGATTAGGGAAGTAGAATTTGGGAGGAGACCTGAGGAAATTATGATGTGTCAGCTAAGCAAAGAGCTAGGGGTGAAGTGTTTGCAACCAAAGAAATGGCAAGTGCGAAGGTCCTGGGGTGGGAATGGCCAGAGTGTGTTTGTGAGAGAGAAAGGATGCCTGTATGTAGGGACAAAAGAGGGAGCTGTGGGAGGTGAAGCCGGAGAGGTGACAGGGCCAGGCAGGACTTCCAGGAAGTAGAAAAGAATTTGGATGTAATTTGTTCAGTACATTCCTTTGTACATTGGCAAGTGTCAAACGCTTCCTAAGAGGCAGGCACTGTGGTAGGAGTTAGAGACTCAGTACAGAAACCCAAGATGGGACCTCTGCATTCATGAGACCTGCAGCCTAGCAAGGGACAATCCAGGTATCTGGCAAAAGCATGCCGTCCTAAGATACTTAAGTAAAAGTGACTAACACCTCCTATGAAAGGCCCTCCTGGAGAGATCCCCGATGCCTAAAAAGACCCAGGCGCCTTCTTACTCCACCTTTCTCAGGAAGAACTTCCCCCTTCATTTACCTTGTTCTGGGGTGTCCTCAAATGCCACCTCCTCCTACCTCACAAGACATTCACACAAAGCATCTGAGGGTGTATGACACCCCTAAAGTGGGTTGTATATGACTTTTGTATCATGATGGAATAATTCAACATGGAATCTCACGCACCAGATTTTTAGTTTCCAGGTCTAAAATGTCACCTGGCATTCTTGACTGGTCAGCTTGTGCTATGGTCCAGCTGCTCAACAAGCTGGTGGGACATGGTGCCGTAGCAAGCCCGCTCATTCCTTTGATCAGGCCCCTGTGGTCCTCCATCCCCTTGGGCTGGGCACCGTTTTATGTAAGACATGTCCACTCAGGTTTTTCTAATTAGTAGGGGAAGACCAGAATTGATGAACTTGTAAATACCAACCTGCTTTTCTGTTCTCTCACATCAAAAGGGGGGAAAAATGGTTTCCAATACTCAGCCCAGGTGGTACCCAGAAAATATTTGTTAAAAAAATTATTTGAGTAGGGATTTTCCCCTAGACTTAATTCCTGTTCTCTTCCTTAAAAGCACAGAAGCTAGGATAGATTTTGGTTTGTATTATTTTTACTGTTATTGGTTATTATTCTGCTACATGTATACCCAGACTGTTACACAGGATGCACTGTGTTGGGATAGAGGTAAGGGAGAGGGGTCAGCCCTGTGGGAGGTCTAGCTGAGACCCTAAAGAATGAGTGGGTGAAGAGGGTGGGGGTGCCATTCTTGGAAAAGACAGAGTCAAACAATCCAATTCTTGATGGTAGTAAATAGGCTTGTCTGGTGACAAAAGCAGAGAGAAGTGAGGTGGGGCAGGATGGGAGGGGAGAGAATGGGAACTGTAGTGGAGAAAGGGCACCCCTGGCTTTTCTACAGATTGGTAGCCTCTGGGTCTTACAAAGAAGTTTGGACTCCATCCAATGAACAATGAGACACCATCAAAAGATTTCCAAGCAACATGCCTTTCTCCTCAGCTTGTGTGTTTTCTTTTGCTGGGACACCTCCTACCCTACCTGTTTGCTCAGGTTTCACAATTGTTCCTGACTCTCCAGCCTGACTCCAACCGCTCTTCTCTGGGAAGCCATCCATTCCTGATCCCCACTGTCGCCTGCAATTTCTCCTCTCTTCTTTTCCCACAATTGAAATGGACTCGTGAAATCACATTTCCATTTTGCTTTGTTGGACAAAAGGCAGAAAAGAACAACAATTAAGAGAGAAGATTCCAAAGTCAGGTTGCCTGGGCCTGTTGCTTACCAGGTGTGTGATTTGGGGCAGTGCACTTAACCCTTCCAGTGCCTCAGTTTCCTTATCTGTTAAGGGACAAAAGTTGACTGACTTTATAGAATTATAGTGGGATTAAATGTAAGGGTATAGGTAGAGCCCTCGCAGGGTTTTCAGGAGGCAGGAAGGACTCAGTGAGAGTCAGACATTCTTCCTGTGCCTGTTCCCATTCCTGTCACTGGGCTGTGAGCCCCTTAAAGGGAGGGGTTGTTGCTCACTGCTTGCTGTGTCCTTGGCTCCTAACAGGACCAAGCCGGGCAGAGTAGGTACTCAGGAAAAACTGATCCTGCCAGCTTTGTGTGGTTTGGGGGAGTCCTGGAGAAACATCCCAGTAGCTTCTCATTAAATCTTCCAAAAGCAAACATATGGCTTTGAGTGCCATTGTCACCATGTGACTTGCCAAAACCACTTCTCTCTCTGTCTTAATTATCTACTTGCTAGGGTATCATGGGGATGAAGTGGGATTGGCTCCAGGGATGGAGCATGTGACCCAGGCCTGGCCAATCAAAACACTGATTTCTCAATCTGTGCTTAGCTCAGGAACGGTCATGTGACCCAAGCTGGTCCAATAAGAATGGCTCTCAGGAGTAAGGCAGAGGGTATGGGGAAAGTGTGGCTTTTCTCCCCCAGGACTGGACAGTGGGAGGATGTGGGGATGTTGTAACTGCAGCGGCCTTGTGACTTAATGAGAGGACAAGGGGACATTAAGCGTGGGAGCAGGGGAGGTGGGGATGTCAGTGAAGCCAACACTGAAGGGCCATGTCAGATGGAGAGAATTGAGTCCTGTTGATATCTTGAAAGCCCTAGTCCCAATATAGCTGAAAGCAGCTCCTCTCCTGGCCTTCTCTGCTGCACCCACCACAAACCCCTTTTCCTTACCACTCTCTGGGCCTGGCCACATCAACTTCATGACCGACACTGCACTGTTGATTGTCCTCACAGCTGCTGTGCTCTTCTCCTTCTTCCTGACAGAACCTTGCTCCACTTAGGTGGCCTCAAAGGATAAATCAATATAAATCTAAGTACATCATGGCCGTCTGGTTCTCTTTGGCCTGGTCTTCCATGGGGAGCTTCTGGAAAATATTTTGCTCACGGATAAAAGGAGCCAGATGAGATGACTTTACCCTTGCCTTCTCTTCATGTACATTGTCATATGAGAATGAGATGCTTGGAGCAACTGCAGCCATATTGCAACCATGAAGATAGACTGTGACTATGTAGCTTTGTGAAAGGTGGCAGAGGAACATGATGGAAATACGATGGGATCTTGGTGGCACAACAACTGAAGAAACATCTGTACAACTTACCTCTGAACATCTTGTGAAGTTAGACAATAATGATTCATGTTTAACCTACTTATTCATTAGGCATTATAACTTGAGGCCATGATAATTCTAACTAATATTGTAGATCTCGGTGATAATTGTATTTAGTTTCTCATTAAAAGAAGCACAAAAAAAGCTAAGAACTTCAGCTCCTTTATTATTGTTACTAGTAATTATTTACTGTTATTTCCCCCTAAACAACAGCACAAGTCAAACAACAATGACACACACATCCCACCCATATAGACAAAACCACTAGCCTGTCTACCAGGCTGTCTTGGCCTTTGCTTGGTTCCTGCTCCAGCTGTCTGGAGACAGCCCCCTCTGTAAAATTCCTGACTTGGACATAGGGGACACAAAAAGATGGGGACTTAACCAGAGAATTAACTGAGGGGCTCCCAGAGTCCTTGGAGAGTCCCAGGTTGAGAAACACGAGCACATGCTGGAAGAGTCCAGGAGGGCAGAAGGCACATTTTGTTTGCATGTGGTTGGTAGATACACCCGGATGGAGATGTAAGTACTGTCAGTAGCCCTTTGTGGGTCAGGGGCTTGGAAACATAGTTGGGTGAACCAATGACTCCGCCAACCAAACCATGTAGCACACATGGGAATAGTGGGCCCAGGGCAGGAATCTGAGTGATGGGGAGGTCCCCAGAGAAAAGCAACCCTTGCGTTCGCTGCAAGGCTAGATGCAACATGAAATGGTTAAGTCCCCACTAATTTGTTTTGCAACTAAAGAATGTGCAAATTTTTCATCCAGATAGGAAAGAAAAACTCCCAGTATTTTGATCTAAGGCAACCAAGCATGGCTTGCCAGTTGCGCCCTCTTGTGGAGAAATCTACTAATGGCATGATCCAGGCAATCTGTGGTCATTCTCCCCTTCCCCCCTTCCCCAGCATTTTGAATTGCACTAAATCTGAATTCAGCTAAACTAATGTACCCTGGAATCGGAGAAGCGTTGGGGTTGGGGAAGGAACAAGGATGGGCCAAGACTGGAGTCTTAGGAACAGGTGACTTCCTGGCTGTCTTGGGGAAGCTCGTTGTTGAAGCTGCTTTCTCCAAACGGTGAGTAGGGGGGAACCTGGGGAGCTTCGATGATCAGCAGTCCCTCTGGAGAAAGTGAGGCAAACACCGTCACGGGATCCACCTCTGCAGGAAGCCTGAGAGACAGAGGCGCCAGACGTCATTCCTTCATCATTTTCAATACCACATAAACATTTGCATCCATTTGAAAGACCGGTGTCTGCTAAAAGCTTAGACACTGGGGCATGCATGCACTGCTGGCTTTGAACTGTGGTTCTTTCCCTTTCTAGCTCTGTGATCTCGAAAAGTCACTCAATTACTTTGAGTCTGTTTTCTCATCTGCAAAAGGGGGACAGTGATATTAACCTTGTACAGTACTCGATGCTCTAGAACGAGACAGAGTCTGAATGTGCTTTGCAAATGGTAAACTGCTACTTAAAATGGAACTGTGACACATGTGTTTGGTCCAAGATTGAGGTCGCCATACTAGCATACCCAGTGCAGAAATGGCAGGAGAGACACCTGCACATCCATGTTTATAGCAGCACTGCTCACAACAGCCGAGCTGTGGAACCAGCCTAGGTGCCCAATAACCAATGAATGGATAAAGAAAATGTGGTGTGTGTTACAACAGAGTATTAATTACACAGCCGTAAAGAAGAATGAAATCATGTCATTTGGAGGAAAATGGATGGAACTGGAAATTACTATGTTGAGTGAATTAAGCCAAGCTCAGAAAGACAAATGCCACATGTTTTTCTCTCATATGTGGAGCCTAGATAGACTAATTTAGCAATAATAATTAATAATAATAATATGACATGGTTTAGGACCGCTTAAGGTGGAACCAGCAGTAGGGAGAGAGGGTGATGGGGTTGAATATGATTGAAATAGCCTAATGAAACCCACTAAAAACTGTTAAAAGGCAAGGAGGAGAAAGGGGAATTAAGAAAGAGTAATGTAGAATGGTGAACTTGATCACCGTACAGTATACCCATGTATGTAAATATCACAATGAAATCCCGCTGGACAATTAATTTATACCAATAAAGATTGTTAACGGCAGCCACTACTGTCCATCCCTGTACGGAGCTCAAGGAAGGGGTTCCAGTGGGCGATGCGTTTTCCCTAGCTGTGTGCTGATGGAGGACGCCTCGCTACGTGGGTCACTTCAGGTGGCAGAAGGCTCTAGGATGCTAAGAATGAGACTTGATTTGGGTCACACCTTACATAATCTGTCAAGAGGTCGTTACTGTTTTGCTCCTCAAACTCAGTTAGAGTTATCATCTGGTTGGAGCTTTTTAAGAGTCTAGTAGGGTGACTAGGAGTTCATGTGCCCATTTCACAGACAAATAGATAGCGACTGACAGAAATCAAATGACAAGCTCAGCGAGTGAGAAGGCATCAAAGATGGGACTTCTAAGCCCACATCCGGTTACAGTTCTGATAAGGATCTTTTAAAATGTGTGTGTGTGTCATTTAGATTAAATGAAGCTACCTGCATATGGTTTCATCAACAAATCTGAAATTGTGAGGACATGTTAATGGTTCTATTGGGATGTCATTATTAATAAAAAAAAAAAAAGAAAAGAAAACTGACCTTCTGAGCAATTATTATGTACCAAGTTCTCTGCCTGAATCATCTCATTTACCCGTTAACAATAATGCAGCCAAATAGTTCTATTATCATTCCCAATTTATAGCTGTGAACTGATTTGCCCAAGGTCACACAGCTGGTGTGACACAGCAGATGGGAATCAGAATTGAAATCTTGGGTTCCAACCATAGGACCATGGAGAGCACCCAGAGGCTGAGTCACCATAGACCATTGCACCAGGCTGGCTCTGCCAGCTGCAAACCCAGGGGTCAAGACATGACTTGAGCCCATTCCTGATCACTGACAAGACCCTTCCTGGAGGGGCCGGGGAGTGGTGTGCTGTGCACAGTAGCCTGGAGCTCCGTGAACCACATCCACCCAGGGACACCTTGCCAAATTGGAGCCACAGAGATCAACAGGATTGCTGGGGAGGAGGGAAGAGGGCAGAAAGCTGGGAAATTGCCAAGCCCAGCTTTGGAAAGGAGACAAGGCTGAAAGTGAGGGCCTCCCTCCCACTGCTGAGGAGGGGCTGTTTAACCACTCATACGCCAGCCCAGTGGACACCTGGCACCATGTGACAGTCTGGGCTTTGCAGGCAGGCAGACCAGAGCCCAAATTCTGACTCTCTCTAACTGTCAGAAGTTGGGCTGGTGAGCGGGCCTCTCTGCATCTATCTAATAAGAGAATGGGAATAATAACAGTATGTCTCTATGGTCGTGTAAAATGACTGGTAGCCATTAACCCTGCATGGTGACATCTTGACAGCTGTAGCTATTTTAACACCAATTGAGTGTTACTGAACCACAGAATATCAGAGCCCCAAAGAACTCCTTAGTTGTCCAGGACAATGCTCCCTTGTCACACATGGAGAAACTGAGGCTGCCAGTCTTCCACTAGGTGACCTGTGTGTTCACATGGTGAACACACATGGTGAGAAAATTATTCCTTTCCTATTCGCTTTTTCTTGTGCAGTACTGGGTTTGAACTCAGGGCCTTACACCTTGAGTCACTCCAGCAGTGATGGTTTTTTTGTTTTTGTTTTTGTTTGAGATAGGGTCTCTATTTTCCCAGGCTGGCTTAGAACTGTGATCCTCCACATCTCTGCCTCCTGAGTAGCTAGGATTACATGAGTGAGTCACCTTCACCTGGCTTCTATTCTCTCTTAACTCTTCATTTGCATCTAAAAGGTCCTTCCTGAGTGTTAATAGGCCTCTAACACCTCTAGCCTCCATCCCCTGGGACTTTCTCTGGGACAACTAGCTAGCTGGCTGATTCAAAGTTTGGACCCTTAGGCAGGAAAGGTTATCAAATGTGGTATTTGACCACATTTTGCTTTCACTGGAGTTATTTCATGAACGCCTTCTTCACTAACATTTTAGTGATGACACTTTTAACTTTTCCAAAAGTGAGTCGATCTAGAGAAGAAAAATCTTAAGCAAATAATGATATAGGAATGTAAGCAGAAGCTGTGAAGATGGTATGTAATGAGTGTATTGAAAATGACTGTTACTTGGTTTGCCTTAGCCAGGTTGAAAGGTTATGGGCTCTGAATATAGAGAGACCTATGCTCAAAGGTGTGAATGCCTAGAGATGAGTTTCAATTCCATGTCTGCTATTTTTTTAGATAGATTTATGGAGATACTATTGTCATTTTCTATATCTATCTGTCTGTCTATCTCTCCATCCATCCATCTATTTATATCTATCCATCCACCCATCTATCATCTATCTATGCATCCATCCATCTATCTAAACTTGATGCTTTGATGTATGCATACATTGTGAAATCAAGTTAATTACCATATGTGTAACCTTGAAGTGGTGATCATTTTATGTGTCTGTTGAGATTAAATTTAAGAGGTAGTCTCTCCTCAAATTTCAAATCTACAATACAATATTGCTAACTCTGGTCACCATGCTGTACATGGTGTCCAGAGATAGTCCTCCAGTTCAACAGAGACCCTGTGCTCTTTGACCCATGTTGCCGGGTTCCCTTTCACCCCCAGCCCCTGGCGACCACTGTCTTGCTCCTCCCTCTGTGAGTCTACGATTTTAGATTCCACATAAAAGTGAGATACTGTGGTATTTCCCTTTCTGTGCCATTTTTAAGGCTTGATAATATTCCAGGTCTGCTGTTTATTTGCTGTGTGACCTCTGTGGAGTCACACCACCCCTTTGAGCTTCAGTTCTTCATCCGCAAGATGAGTTTACTAATCTTACTCAAAAGGAGTCTTTTAATGATGAAATGAAATTAACCCTGTGAATCTCTTCACATGACTGTTGGGAGGTAAAGGCCAGAGTGGATACCCAGGAAGATGTGGAACAAGGAGACACTGTCTTCTTTGACTCTCAGCATCCTCCTTTGATGGTTTTCTGTATCCCCTGCTTTCTGTCCTCTCCTCCAAGTTGGGTAGAAAAGAGCCCAGCTACAACCTCAACTTGATAGGCAGATTCCAAAACAGTTCTCTTCCTCATCCAATAGCCTAATGCAAACATCTGCAGCATTCTGCCTGGGTGGAAATCTCCAAGGATCCCAGCCTGGCTGAAGAAACTCTTTGTCCTCTAATGACTGGAGTTTTTCCTGGAAGAGGCAACAAGGCCCCCTAAGACTTGCCCAGGATCATTTCTCATCTCCAGCCCAACTCCTTAATGTGTCCAATCTGGGCAGAGTCAGGAGGTCCCAGGAGTTGTGCAATCCATCTTAGCCCAGTGGAGTCTTAATATTAATTAAGAATACAGAATCTGTACCCAGTGCTAAATGCTTTATCCATATCCTCCCACTCTTCATCATGACCCCATCCATGAGGGAGCGAGGACACAAGCTTAGAGCAGCTAGCCAAGTGGTTCCACTAACTTCATCATGGAACCAGGACTGAGAATCAAAGTATTAAATAACTGGTTCAGCTGGGTGCTGACCATGCAGAAGGAATGGATATATGCCACAGTGACGGAGGGGGACCCTGGGGAACTCTTTACTTGGGAGTGTGGGGAAGTTTAGAGGGTCCTGGAGTCAGAGTGAGGATGGCCAGGGTTGGCTCTGGATGGACATGAGGTGGACCCAGTCAATATTTTAACAACCAGCTCACCACCAGCTGAATAACAGCTCTGACTTGAGCAACTTCAGACATTTCTATCTGGTCACAGAATTCCCAGGGAGCTGTTTCCCTTATGGCTTCAGAGCTGGGGAAATTCACCAAACACAGCCATTATTGTAAGATGATTCATTTGCCAATTTCTTCCTTCTCAGCCCTTGTCGTGACTCTGCCCTGTGTGTGATTCCAGCTTGAGTGCTTGTCTGGGTCTCTGAAAGGAAGCATCAGTGCCTTCCCTCTCTCTTTTTCTTTCCTTTCCCCTCAGAGCTGTTTGATCTGGTGGCTGGACCAGGGAGGGGTGAGGATGACATATGGCAGGCCAGCTAACAAAACAGTTTGGCGTTTACCTTATCAGGAATTGTTCATGGGCTTCCAAGAACTGTGGAGGCTCTGGGAGGGTCAGGAATGGGCATGATGAGGGGAAAGACAGGAATGTAAAATCCCAAAGCCAAGAGAAGCCTCAGAATTCAGTTGGTACAATCTCTCTGCCACAAGACAGCTCTGCCAGGGCTAGTGTGGAGCTCAGATTTAAAAATAAGAGGAAAAGTAACAAACCACCACTCTAAGGACCACTGTGAGGACCTGCCATGTACCTTTGCAAGGCTGGTCAGTATCCCTTGTTCAAGGTCTGAGTGTAGAACTTGGAGGTCACTAGTCTGTCAGGGCCATGCTAAGTTCTTTCTGTTAAGACCCTGGGTCTGTCCTTTTGCCTACAGAGGCTTAGTTTCCTCCTAACACAGAGAGGATTTGCTATGTCTCTTCTCTGTGACTCACATGTTTACTGCAGATGCTAATGAGATGGTGGCTGGGAAAAGGCTTTTGGGCCAGAAAAGCACATAGCAAGTAATGTTGGTTAGAGACACCTAGCCATTGCTCCTCCGATGCTGCCATCAGGGCACCCCTAGGAGCCTCTTCTCCCTACAGCAATGACTAGTTAGGGGCCCAATGTAGTCCACCCTGGTTTTCTGCTTGCTGTTCTCATGGATCCCCCAGCCTCAGCTCTTCCCTGGCAGACCCAGTGTCTCAGCCCTGGGTGGCCATACTTGTGTTTAAGGATACTGCAGAGAGAATGTAAATTCTACTGCCCTCTAGAACCTTCCAAAGATCTTACTGGTCTATTGGGGCATTGAGGGAGGGCCTTTCTTGATAGCAATGGGTGTCCACCCTCAGCCATGCCACTTGGGTGGGTGACTGCATTAACTCTCAGTGTAAGGTGGGTGAGTTGGTTTGCCTCTTACTCTCTGATTGTCCATTTGTAAAATGGGCTTAACACCCACCTTACAGACACTGAGACACTACTGCAGATTTGTTAGGACACTTTCTAACGTTTAGGTGTGAGTTCAAGTCCCCACTCCGGGGAGTGTCTCACAAGATCGATACCCAAGAGGAAGAAATCCCAGATTTAGGCTCCAGACTCCCAGTCCCTCCCCCACCCTAAGATCCACCCTGTGAGGTTGCTTACTGGATTTTCTTTGTGAAGTTCTTGGAAACAATGCCACCTTCCTGTTGTTTCTCTTCGTGTTTGCCTGGAAGAAAGAGGAATGTCACATCCTGTGTCATTTAGGACTCAGGTGTTCTTCCCTTGCCTCTCTGTGAGGCTTAGGGGTGGTCTAGACTCCGGGGTCTACCTTAACCCACTTCCGCGCCTGGCTGTGAGGATGAATTCGGATGATGGACTGGAAAAGAGGCTTTGACTGGGTTTGTTGACAATTAAATATTAGTCTTAGGAAATCACAGGAACTAGATCATATGTATTTATTCTGTCTCCTACAGCTTCCACCTAATCCTGACTCTGAGGATGGGTTCTTTCTCCGCTTGCTACAGAAGTGGAAACGGAGGCCTGCCTCATCATGGGCCCAAGGTCACCCAGCAGGTGCATGGCTGCTCTGGGTTTAAATCAACTGTCTCTCTGAATCAGGGCCAACTTCTGAGGCCTAAAGCCCGTTAGCTCTCAGATTCCTGTCTGAGATTCCTGCTAATAAATAGCTCTTGGAGCCACATTCTCGTAGAAGTGAAAATTATACTTTAACCTGCTGAGCAAGCCCAGCCAAAGAAGGGAGCTCTCCTTAGGGAGGGACCTCAGAACCATGGTGTGAACTTCTGCCAGCCCCACCTCCCACGGGGCCAGCAGGGTCCCCTTCCCCCACACAGGGAGGAAAAAGATGAAATTACAGAACGGCTTGGGTCCAAACTGCTGGCTTTTATCTTGCAGTTTATGTAGCAAATTCTGATACTCCTTTTTTTTTTTAAGAGGGTGCTTGTGTTTCTCTTTAAACAAACAGGGTATGTGCTTGGCAGGGCTATTCAGCCTGTATCACTTTTCAGTCCTCCTCCATCCTGGGGGCCATGTTCTAGAACCCAGGCCCCTCAAGAGACCCTTCTGGATCCAGGCTGTACAAAATCTTGTGGTTATCAAGTATTTTAATTTTTTTCAGACTGACAATTTATATGTGATTACATTAGCAGTGACTTTTTATTATTAGTTATTCCTTTGATAACTTTTTTCTGATTACAAGATAATGCATATGTATGTTAGAAAACACATTTACAAAAATCAAAATCACTCATAGTCCCATTACCCAGAGAAAGCTATAAATAACACTTTTTTATATCTTTCAAATTTTCCTTTTTATGTTTCTTAGAAACGCATAAATGAACTAAAATCCCAGCACTCAGGAGGC